CTATGCAGATATGCTAGAGACAGTTGTGTAAAAAGATAAATTTAACACCGTAAAGAAGCAGGTGAAATAGCTTACTGACGTTTCGGGCGTTAATCCTTCGTTGGAGTAAAGAGATGGAACTAGGTAAAGTGTGAGTTTATATAGTAAGAGCAGCAAAGAAAGTAGACCAATAGGAGCAAGGTATGCATGTATTAACGTCCGAAATGTCATAAGTTATTTCACCGTACTTTTTTACGGTGTTAAATTCATCTTTTTACGCAACTATTTCGGAAACACCGACGCAGCTCACACTAGTTTACCGCTAGTTTCCACAATAGCCGATTTGCATTATGGCGTCATTTACTACAACTACCAGAATGCTTTGCCAACTTTCTTTTGTAATGCAATTCGTGCCAATTGTTTTATTAATCTCCAAGGGGATTATAAATCTGAATAACAATGGAAATGCGCAAGGCTCTCTGGTAGTTGTAGTAAAGTTACGCCATCGTGCAAATGGCCTATTATGGTAGAGACATTCTATTTACGATGATTTACGATTAACTTTGATTTTCAAGGTACAACAGTTCCAGCGGTTGCACAAGAAATCCACTATCATTATCATCAACCACAAAGTACTGCTCATCAAAATACAGGTAAAACAAACTTTGGTTTCCTGCCCAAAAATCATTAAACAACCAAACACAAAACTCAACTGATACTATTGTGTAATCTTTCTTAAAGCAGAGGCTCCTATGTCTTTTCCTAGAGATAGAGAAACGAAAAAGGCTCCTCCTTTCTTTCTCGTTTCTCGCGCGGAAGGTGAAGACCCTGGTGTTAGGTTATTGCGCTCTTTTAACTGCGAGCAGAATCTTCTTCGTTTTCCCTGCGATAGAGATAAACGAAAGAAGAGTCCTGTTTCTCACAGGGGCCTCCACTCACAGAATGTTGTGATCTTTTTACCTCTTGGAGTGTTTTAAGGTTGTAGGATATTTTCAGCTTCTTCGTTATCTCGATAGGATGTTCTCTACCATGTTCGGGTTCTCCTCCATGTCCACCACCATGTCCAACTCATTGTTGCAGTAAAAGACACAACGCCTTCACGTGACGAATGGTTACTGCGCTCGTGGAACCACTTGAGTTTTGAACATTTTATGACGTCAAGAGTGTGTCAAGAAAAGGATATATAACTCAAAACCATGCGCAATTTCTTAAATCAATGTCTTGTTTGAACTGTGATTAAAATAGAAAAGTAACACGAGATACTAGTAAACACTAGTAAAACAATATTTTATCAAGCTTATGTTTAATAAAGAAACGTTTAAATAAAGGATTTTTATATTTGATATTTGCGCAGTGTTTTCGAACTTATTAGGATCTTCGCGACTCTTCGGCAAAACCCATAGTTTTTTGGAGTCATTTGCACACATTTGCGTTCGCCGATTGTATTTATTTTTAGTCCTTAGGCCTAATTGAATCTCTATGAAAATGAACCCCAAGAATATATAAGGATCCAAAATTCTATGCATGCTTCTGTTGTGTCACCTATAAGTATATATAAGCGTTAATTCACACTTCTTCCTCTATATAAATTCTAAAATAGCTGGGCTGATAAGGTCTATTGTCTCTATTGTCTTCTGCGTTGATGACTAACTGAAAATCGTCTGTTGTGTTTGTGTTGCCACGAGGCTGTAATTCTTCATAGATATGAAATGAAGGTGAGCTCAAAGACTGATAGTTGGTTGGTTTGCGTTCATTTGATTTTTCTCTGGTTAAGGGTTCCAGCCTTTGATAATCCCTGCTCTTGTCTGAGCTTCTTTGAGTAGAAATTACTTGTTGATAGGGAGGAGGTTCACAGCTGTCTAACACTACTGTGGTTTCTTCGTCTTCAAACAGTTGACTATTGTCGGTGGTTGGAGATAGAACTTCGTGTTCAGCGGTTGTATCATTGCTGTCATGCTCAATCTGGTTACCTCTCAAATGCATTAGTGGATTGGGGATGACATCGTAGCTATACTGTGCATCATCTGTTCGTCTTTGAGTCGTATTTGTTGAATTCTCCATTAGTAGATTGACCTAAATTTTAACGATTTTGGTAAGTAAACGTAATAATACGATAGACGATGTACCATTTTCTTTTCTTTACACAATAAACACAAGTAGACATTATATAGAATTGAGATAGAATTGGGAGAGCCTACGTAGCACTCAGTTGATGTAATATATTCATAAAGATATAATAGAAAACACATAATACAATAGAACGACAAACAATGGAATACAATACATTTTATGAATACATCACATCAACCGCGTGCTACGTAGGTCTCCCCATATAGAATTATATAAGAAGTCGTTCACGCAACTTTGCAATAGTCTCCTTCACGGTTACGTGCGCCATCTTGAAAGGTAGCCGTGCCTTTGCATCGAAGCGAGACAACCGTTGAGCGTGCAATGATAGAAACCTGTGAATAATAATTGTCTGTAAGTGTGAAAGAAGGTTTCTATCATTGCACCCTCAACGATCGTCTCGCCACTATTATAGCAACTATTATAGCTTCAAATTCATTGCTTGGTCTCCCTGTGGTCTCGCTTCGATGCAAAGGCATGGCTACCTTTCAAGATGGCGCAGGTAGCCGTGAAGAAGACTATTGGTCTTGGAATACTCCAATTTCGAGTTTGCTCTGTGTTTAATAGCCTCAAATCCAAATAACAGATTCTTTTGTTTTATTGATAGCCCGAGAAAACGCAGAATTTGTGAAGAAAAACAATAGAATTGATTTGAAATCTCACACTTTTATTCTCACAATTAGGAATATTTTGCGCACAAATGAGGCTAACACAGAGCATTGGAGAATTGGAAACTGAATTCTTATACTATGATTAACTTACATCAAGTCTTATCATTGAAGAACTTTCTGGTCGTTCAGATGGCGTTGGAGATGAAACCCTGTCAATGTAAAAACAATTTTTGTTAGAGTGCAAACAGAGGGAATTAATAACCCGGGAGTGGGGGGGGGGGGGGGG